ACGCCGAAGACGTCATTGATATACATCAAGAAGAGAATGGGGTCTAGCACGCCTCCCTGTATGGATCCACTATATATCGATAGCGGATTTGTGTTAGTTGTGTCCTGTCGGACAGGTAGAAAGCAAACCACCGAAATAAGGTCCCTATGATAGCGAAAGTACTAAGCCTATGCAGCGAGGATATATGAGGGACCGGGTCGAAAGCCTTTGGATATACAAGTAAACTGCTACACTGGAGTGCTCACCGTCATAAGCTGCCGTGATAGTCTCGAAGGGCTGGAGCTGGCAACCGCTGAAAGATAGCTGAGACAGGAGGAACTCGGTTAGTGTGCCTTTGGTCAGACGTTCAAATGTTTTCAATAAAGGGGCGTATGGTTGTTAGAAGATGTTTTTCAGTGATCCGGATTTCAAGTGCTTCCACTTAAAAAGGACAATTACGTAGTTTATTAAGTGGGTGAAAAGATTTGGGACAAAGAATCATTATCTTGTTCATAGTCTCAGAACTCGGGGTGGATGGTCATCCGCTCCAGGCGCAACCGAGACTCTCAAGTATGAATGAAGGGCAGAAACATCAGCTAGGGAGAAAATTGCGACGCTGAGAGACCGGAGGCCACCATGGACGTTTAGAATTTTGACAATACAGCAGGCAAAACGGGTTTGAAGTTGGATGGAAGGGGCAAGTAGCAGCTAGCGAATTAAGCGTTCAGATGATCTGCCATACTTATCGGATCAGTGAAAGGGTAACCCAAACGGGTGATCAGGGGACTGTTTGAAGCACAACGCTCACGGAAGAGCCGGTTGAGTGATTTAGAGTTATAAGGGATTCTGAGGACGCTGCTCTGTTCCCGGCGTTGGAGAGCTACCTGTAAAAACGCTCGGTGAGTTTAATGCTTATTAGTGAGAACTAATGATGAGAAATCGTGAGATTCTGATATTTTTCTGCTAGCCCGATGATTTTTTTATCCAAGGGTTCCTTTAACTTATGGATAGAAATATCAGGGTGGAAACGTTTTATGGGAGAAACAAGGTGAACACAGTCATTATGTTTTAGTAGATGATGTCACAAACTCGCCGTGTTTATCGGGAGGAAGAATTCGTTTTAGTCCCGGAAAGCCAGTACAGATGAAAAAGCGTGCAGAACGTCTGGGGAGAGGAGGTGAAACAGGGAAGGACACTTAGGAGCAATTGGGTCGAAATTGATTGCGTTGCAAGAACGACGCCATGATCACTACTTGGGAGGAATGGACCGGCTGTGGCTGTATTAAGATGTCCATCGTTTGAGAAAACTAGGTCTAGTGCATGCATGCCACTAGTGGGGCTATGTACCATTTGGGATCAATACACTACACTGAGTTGAGCAAGCAGCCAGGCAGAACCAACAGGGCCCGTAGTGGCAGACCAGGAAACACCCAGTCAGTTGGAATCACTCAGCACAAATTTACACGAACGAGGAAAGGCATGTAATGTAGAGATAATATGGGACAAGTCAGTAGGAGAAGCGGGAAAGGTGGCCGTTAGCGAATAAATAAAGCCTACTAGTACGGGTCGTTTGGTCTGTTCTGCAGTGATCCAGGTGGCCTCTGGGATCTCGTCCGGCGTAGAACCATTGACGAAGTTTGCACGGAGTTCTGATTTGCAGTGAGTGGCATAGCCATTACCCTTTGAATTCTTCCTGTCAAGCGGTGAATATTATGGCCATGGATCTGAACACTCACGTCCATAATTTCATCTGCGAGCCATGTTTCGGACACACGAATCAGACCTGGTCTTGAAATGGCGCTAGTGGCTCAGAGTTTATAGATTTATGGTATTGCGAGCGGGGATTATACACCATTATTGACCAGTTTGTTGGCGAGCAACTAGCACTAAGTAGGAGTTACCATGATCACCCACGGTAAGTTCTGGTACTTGGGGGACTTGCTAAGTGAATGGGGGTAAAGTGAACCAGGGTTCGTTGGACGTGTGTTTGGATTGCGAGGAGGGTATTCTGTGCAGTGTTAGCCGGGTAAGTAGTTGGTCAAATGGGTCTGAACCCACGGCAGAGAGATGTTACGCTGATATATCGGTTTTGCACTTGTTACTACGACGGATATTGCCTTCATTTGGTGGTTATGCTTCCGGATGTAAGTGCGTCTTCAGTGTTTGTCTTTTGGATATGAATGGAATATTCCTTGTCACCAGTGGAAGGAAGACGGCCTTCGATGCGGGATTGAGGGAAAACGTATTATTCGCCTGTCTGATCAGTGCTATCCACTGTCGCACACCTCCATTTAAAGTTCACTCACATTCCGCCGATATTCATTTACCACCGTTGTACGATCCTGTGCTAAGGCCGTGACCTCAAAGCAAGGAATAGGTTACTTAGCCTAAACGCACGATCTAGGTGTCCTATCTGACAGGTAACGTGTAGTCTAATTCACCAACGGACGGTCAGTAGTAATTGCGGCGAAACCGAATTCTAAGAACTTCACCTGCGTTTGTTCAGTAGTCGCAATTGGGCAGTGAACAATATATTGAATTGGACTTGGGCAGACAGTACAGATAGGTAGACCGTGGTTCTACAGGAAATTAACAGTAAATCATGAGGAGAGTTAAAGAAAGGCTTACGGCTAGATTGAACCTTGGGCAGTTAGCAACACAGGATGGCACACGAAGGGCAGCGTGCTATCGGACAAATTAAGCGGGAAAATTGTTCAGTTCAAAGTGGAACAAAATTTCAACAAGTCCATGGATAAATGTAAACAAATCGTCTATAGAAATGGTTGAGGTAGAGTCGGCTCAGTCTTGAAACTTGAGCAGTCACGGAAGGGTGATGAACTAGTCTGAGGAATAGGGAAACAAATAATTACGTCACGTAATTAACACTCCCGCGGGGTCAAGGGTGGACTTTGATCTTCAATGGTTTGCTCGAGGAGACACACATGTCGAACATCTCTCTTCAACAGTCCGGTCACCGTTCGAACCATGACGTCACGAACTCGTCCATCCTTTCCTGGCGTAACCGTTTGTACAACTCCCTTTGGCCAGGAACCCCTAGATACGGACGTATCGACCAAGAGAACCAAGTCCCCCACCTTAAGATCACGGCCAGATCCCACCCACTTATGTCTTTGATGCAGCGTAGGTAAGTATTCCTTTATCCACCGGACCCAGAAAGTATCGACTAACTGTTGTGCCTGGCGCCATCGTCTAGTTAGCTTCATGTTTGATCCAGGTGAGCTTTCGACTGAAGGGTTACCCTGGAGTAACAGGAGGTGATTAGGAGTAAGTGCCCCAAAGTCGAGAGGGTCATCTGATAATTTCGTCAGAGGTCGATCATTAATGATTTTTTCCACTTCAGTTAGCACAGTAATAAGAACTTCATCGGTTACCAGTTGATCACCAAGCAACGATCTCAGTATCCTCCGAATAGATCGTATCATTCTTTCCCAGACGCCTCCCCTGTGGCTAGCCTTTGGTGGAGTAAA